GGAGGAAGGGAACTCCCATTGTGTGGGAGGGTTCTCTTGGTCTTGATTTCTTTGAGGAAGCACTGTACGAGAGATTTCTAGTTGAGAGCAAAAGTGATTTCACCAAAGAGGCACCACTGAGAGGATACGATGACCGAAAAGAAGAGTGGCCAAAATGCATGCATGGTGAGGACTGCTTAGCACAGATGTTCACCGAGGGAATAGATGGAGGTCGTCGTTTCTTCAAATGCCCGCGAGCTTGAGTAATTGCTATTACTGTTTGCTTCTTCAATATGTACCTCTTCTATACTACAACTAATAGTATGTATTTATTATAGTCTTCCGAGACCGAAGAAAACTATGGGTTCACTAGATGGGTGGATCCTCGTCCAATTTATCCACATCAGAAGTATATCTACTACCTGCAGGACCGTATCTTCGATCTAGAAAGGGAAGTTACCAGCGGTTACAAGGACAACGAAGATGACGACGACAACAACAACAACAACAACAACAACGGTGCCAGTGCACAAGAGGCGATCTACAATGATCCATATTGCACCTGTCCTAATCACCAGAACAAGGGGCCTCCGCCGCCACCCTCGCCGCCACCACCACCAACAACAATGGGAGGATACTATGGAGAAGGTGCAACACAATTTGCTATGTGGCCGCACTACTAGCTAGAACGAATCTATCTTATTCTCATGCCACATCCATGTGTTTGTTATTTGGTTTAATTACCTACAGCATGTTAGGGTTAGCCAAAGGACCTATGTACCCTAGTTTGGTACATGTTCTCATATGCCATTTCATGTGCTTGTTGTTTGTTTCAATTACCTAAGGCATGTTAGGTTTAGTCCAGGACCTCTATACCCTAGTTTGGTACATGTTCTCACATATCATTTCATGTGTTGTGCGTGTTGAATTATGTAATGCAGTACTTCGTTAGGTTTTATTTGCCATACGTTAAATCGTTTCGCTACCTCGACATTTTTAAACTGAATATTATGACCACAAATAATAAAACCAACAACACAATAAAAAATCCAATACTTGGGCACATTAAACAAAACAATAACGATAGAAGTACGTGTTAACAAACTAAATAACATCCATACTTAGGCCCTGTTTGGCATGACTCCAACTCTGGGTGGAGCTGCTCCACTCCAGAACTCCAGGTGGAGCCAACTCTGGGTGGAGTTGGAGCTGTCTGATGAGGGTGTTTGGCTGGGAGGGTGTCTCCAGCTCCAGAAAAGATGAGTTTGAGGGTAGATTGCCATTCTTGCCCCTGGTTCGACTTGAACTACTTCTCACAAATATGAAATAAAAGTGCATGCAGTGTAGTCCAAAATAATAATAAATTACATGTCATTTGCCTAGAACCGAAATTAAAAAATAAGTTCATAGTTCCAAAATAAGGTTATTACAATAATCATTGCACTAATTCCATGCTAGGGCGATGGATGTAGCCATATTATCACGAAAGGTGTCCATAGTCACAAAGCTTGATTCCAACGTTGATCCATCGGAGGCATGTTGAGACACGGCATACTTGTTGTACCTTTCCGGAATAGTAGGCATGTAGGTAGGATCTCTATCAAAATTAGCAAAGTCCACATCAACACTAGCATGTTCACGTATGAAATTGTGTAGGACCATGGTAGCAACAACAGCCTTCTTTTGTGTGACCATTGAATAACCGGGCATCTTGTAAAGGATTTGCCATTTCATTTTTAATACTCCAAATGAGCGTTCAATAACATTACAAACAGATGAGTGTATACGGTTGAACTTCTCTTTTGGAGTATTTGGTTCCATACCTCGATGCCACTCCGGTAAGTGGTATCTTTCACCCTTGTATGGAGCTAGGTACCCCGGACGATTAGGATAGCCCGCATCTACAACATAGTACTTGTTGCCTACACATATGTAAAACAAGATAAGTTTGTGCATACAAATATGAAAAAGAACGTAAGCAAAAATATTTACCTTGAGGTGGATGTGGGAAGACATCTACATCTGCTTCCAATGAACAGGCTATATACTGAACAAGCAGGTTCTGAACAGGCTATTTTTAGCAATCTAGAACTACAACAGGTTCTAGAACTACAACAGAGCATGTTAGCTCAAAGCAGTTCCATGTTAAATCAGTTCCATGTCAACTAAGCTATTTCCTTTCCAAGGAACCACAATTATCTTCTCATGTTATTACTAGAAACCAAACACGGAATCAAGCATTGATAAGATCCACCTGCTACTTATCAGCAACAGAGAGAGATTCCATGAATAGACTGTCCCAGTTCATAAGCCCGAGACAAATTTAAATCGAACGAATTGTGTATGGCACGACCGCACGAACAAAACCACATAGCAACCACCGATTCGACATCACCAACGAGCACAGAGCGAGCCGCCGCCTCGACAGCAAACGCTTATCAGCATCGTCGCATCGAATCCGGAGACTCATCGGATCGAGTCGCACTAACCCACCTGAATCTAGACCCTAGTGGATTCAAACCCGCGCGGAAGGCGGCCTAAATGGCGGGGATCGCAAGAGCAGGGACAAGGCAAAGGTGCGAGCGACTTGTAGTTACCTCCGCGCTGAGCCACGGGAACCCGAAGAAGCCGCAGCGGCGCTGTGGCGGGGCCGCGAGCCGCCGGTGGCCTCGAGCTCAACGGCGTCGATGCCTCGCGTGCCGCGGTTCCCAAGCGCTGCTCCGGGCCGTAGGGTTTCTCCTTGACCGGCGGCGGCGGAAACCCTAACGGGTGGTCTCGCGAGAAGAGAACAAAGGGAGGATCGGTATAGGGAAAATGAGATGCGCTGGGGGGCTCGGAGAATAGAAGATGGCAGGCTTTGAAACGTTTTTTTGTGTAACCAGTGGCATTGGTGGGTAATTACCCACCAAGTCTATGAGGAGGTTCAAAAGAGAGGGTTCTGGAGTAGCAAAAGAGGTGCTCCAAAACTCCACCTCTATTTGCACTACAGCTCCATGAAGTTAGTAGCTCCATGGAGTTTTGGAGTTGGGGTGTTTGGCTGGATTTTTTGATAGAGTTACTGGAGTTTAGGAGTGGAGCCATGCCAAACAGGGCCTTAATATGCATTGCATGACAACACAATTCAAACTACTGAATGCAAACTATTGAGTGCGGAAGACAACATTGTTCATGCAGACCACTGAGTGCAACGATGCCACTTTCCCTTCCTCAGGGCATCGGGATTCTCCTCCATCGCTGCTTTCGCTAGGCGCACACGCTCAATCTTCTTTCCCCTCTCCTCCCTGTATGCAGCAATACGCCTCCTTTCCTCCTCTTCCTTGTGCTCCTTTTTTAAGCCTCCTCTCTGCGTCTCCTATCGATCATCTCCTTGTCCTCTGCCTCCCAACGCAACAGTTTCTGCATCCACTCCTTGTCTTCCGGTTTGCTCAAAATCACAGAGCGATGGAGGGTCTGCAATACATGCAAATGTTACACAACAAATAATTCATGCATGATTTCATATGAAACAAAATAATTGTTACACAGCATCAATTTCTCACCATCTTGTTAATGCGGCGCTGACGAAGTGTAGGCTCAAATGCAAAATTGGAACACATCCAATACCTCTGCCTATATGTGTCCTCTTCATCGGACTTGGCCACCTTGCAAGGATCACCGCAAAAACACATAGGCATAAGAACACCACTAGGCAGAGGCAATGGGTCGAAGGCATTTCCGATCATCCGGCCATACTACAATTGAAACAATTTTGTCCTAAAAACCAAAGGCAATGAACATTAAACCATAATATAACCCATTTGCTACACATCAATAAAACCATAATATAACAAGATGTGCTGAGGTTACCTTGGTTCGATAGCTTTTCCACGCCTTGGCATCCTAAGGTTGCATATTACATATATTAATAATCGTTTCAAAACCCTAGTAATGATGTACCTACGCCTAAAAAATACACCTAACATAGAACAAATCAATGCGTACAAAATGAAGAGGGGAGAGAGGATACCTTGCTCTTGAAGATCTATGGATCATATCAAAGTTTTTCAAGGTGCAAATAGTCGATTTAAGAGATTGGATGGATTGGGGAGAGGAAGAACCCGAGGGGAGGAAGAAGAAATGAAACAAGCCTCGGATAGGGAAAGCTGGTTGCGGGTTTTGAATCCAGGCTCGGCGCCGAGATTTGTGGCGCTGAGCTCGGCACAATGGTCTGTGGCGCCGAGCTCGGCGCCGTGATTTGTGGCGCCAATGTACCTGGCACGTAAGGTCCACATCAGCTACAGAGCCAGGCACCTCGGCGCCGTGAGTCATGGCGCCGAGACGTGTTACCTCGGCGCCGACTCACAGGGTCCAAAGTTGAGTTTACGTCGCCCAGGGGTCTAAATGTGAATTTTCTTAAAAAAAGGACCAAATTAAAAAAAAATCGGCCTGTTCTAGCTAGCTAGAGCGGGCAGACACTTCATGATCACCAAGAGTAAGCATAGATCTAATTCTTAAGGAAAATTTGGTATTAGTTTCATATATACTTTTAATAGTTAAAATGAAGTATACTATTTAGATCTTTTTTTAGAAAATCCGTGATTATAATAAATTAGTTTTGGAAAATCAAGCGAATACGTAGACGATGATATGTGCCACATCGAGCGTAGAGGTGACAAGTGTCACTTGTGACATGATGATAAAATAATTACTGATGCATGTCAACAGCTAGCGTGGGTACGTGTGCGTTAGTTGGCTCGATCGTGTGCATGCAGGTATATATATATGGTGTTCGATCGATCGACGTGTTCGTTGCACGATGCATGGGCATGGCCGACCGAAGCTTTTATTTTTCAAATACGGCAATTTTATATTATTCTATATGTGTAGTAGGCCAAGTAGCTGTCTGGCTGTGCAGGTAGCTATGAGTGGGAGCTTAAAACCCACGGGCAAAAGACAATTATTTGTAGTGATGACAAATAATACTAATTATTCCAAGGGGTCGTCCTCCATATGCATGCACAATGTCCATGTCTTCCTCGTAATTATTTCACTTCCACAATTTCATCACTGTCAGACCATGGAGACAGTGGTATATGGAGTAGCTCTGCCAACGTCAAAGACGACGACGGTGGTGGCCCGTTGTCATCCATCTCAGATCTTTCGAGATCTGTGCCATGGGATTCCTGTGGTGGCCCATTGTTCGTCGCAGATACCTCGGGATCTGTGGCACGGGATCCTTGTGGTGGCACATTGTCTACCGCATATCCCTCAGGCTCTGTGTGATGGGCATCATTATTGTTCTCCTGCTGCTCGCCACCTATTCCAAAGATCTTCCCAAGCAGCTGTTGGAGCCAACCTATTCCATATCTTCGAGCGATGACTACTGCTACTGCAGACACAAACATCCATACATCAATAAGTAATACCATAATATTTTTTTTTTTTTTTTCAGCAATTATAAAGTAAAAATTGAAACAAAACTACATGTATGATGTGGCCAACCTTTTTGACACTTGTGATAAGCTCAGAAAGGTTGAGGATTTTAGTCATATCTCACTTACCAAAAGATATCACTGCTAGATGCTCGTTGCCGATGTGGACCCACGTACTGGTCCAACCGACGTCCATGCTCCACCTAAGGTGAAATGCAAAATATGAAACTTGCAACCAAGAACAAAAACATGTCACTTCAGTTTAATCGGTGGTGTCATCTAGACTTACTTTTCTGATGTATGATGTGTGTCCCAGCCGACAAATAACATGCCAAAGTACATGGAACCCATAGCAAAGACAAAATGGAAAAACCATACCCATATGGTACGTCGTTTACCGTCTCTACTACGTTCCTGAACTGCAAATTTTCAAGCAATAATTTATTTAGGTGGTACAAGACATTTCACATTTTTATTGATTTGATTATTTGTTTAACTGGAATGAAGAACATACATTTATGCATTTGTAGTCATCAGTGCCCGTCGAAAAAGTAGCTACGGTGATGCTGATCAATTCAACAATAAAAGTCTGCCAATGTTGAAATAATATCAATCAAATATTTGATGAAATAAAACTATAGTAGATAAGAACCACGATAGAATAAACAGTCTACTTACAATTATGGTTATCCAATTGTCACCTGAGCCAGCTTTTCCTTTCTTGAAGCAACTTGTGTCTGGCTCACTATTGAGGCGAAATTTCAGAGCCAATGAGAATAACAAAGTTATATATATATATATATATATATATATATATATATATATATATATATATATATATATATATATATATATATATATATATATATATATATATATATAAAGGGATCCCAATATAATAGGTTGTAGCATCACATAATTATTCTGTATAAATATTTTACCTTTTAATTGCTGACCAGCATAGTAACACAATGTATGCTCCCATTAGCCCTGGCTCCATGTAGAATCCCTTCGACTAATTTAGACACAGCAGTTCACATATTCACAATACAAAATTAGTATATATATTTAACTTGCTCTTTTTCCAATTCTTAGCTTTTGATGATCTAAGTAAGTATGTACTTAATTACCTTTGACAATAGTGAGATTAGGGCCATAAGACACACTAGGACCAGTGTGGTGACAATGAACGTGATGTTCACCAAGCAGCCCGTGTACCAGAAGAACATCAGTATGATCCCTACAATCGAGGCACTATAGGCTAGGACAGAGGTCGTGATCACCTCAAGGTAGCTGTGTCGTCAATTGAAGATTGTCAGATATATAGAAACAATGGTAGTACAACATGTTGGGCAAGATAAATTAAAGCAAAGCCTACTGATTTTCGATATTTGTCTGGCACCATTTGTAGTTCAGCCGTGTGATGAATCTGATGACACTTATGAGCTGAACAAGAAGAAATACCCTGCTCAATTCCAAATACAAGATATATAATAACCACATGTTAGTGATGGAAAGGGAAGGACATGAACAAATGCTTGGAAAAATTGTTTGAGGTACCCTGCTCCAAAGTGTGCAGCTTTACCTAAAAATAAATCAGACAAAAACACCATGATCAGCAAGTGGTGGATTCTCTAATTTACTACAAGTTGTAAGATAGGTCGGCATGAAGTCAGTAACTAACCATAGAGTTGAATCCCATCGGATGGTATAAATACTGAGATCACGAGGCAGCCTAACAAGAGGAGGGCCTTTAACCACCACCACTGGAAGTGCCACGAGTTTCGACGGTCTTGTACCGTCCTCGTGCCCACGGTGGAGAAGAACATTATAGAGAAAAAGAGCTGGAAATTTGTTAAGGCCAACACAAGTTGATGGAAAACAAATGTTTGTTTGGGAAAAAAATTTGAGGATACGAAGAAGGCAAGACTTATGATTAAAACACTCTCAGCGGCAAGGCAGTCACGGTGACCCTCACAGCCACTGAGGCGTTGTCCCATGAAGTACGTGATAGGGTTTTCTCTTTCCACCCATGCAACGATGTTGGCCAAAAAGAAGATCCCTGCATAGACGTACCGCGCGGACAGTGTTGTTAGGCTCGGACAGGAGCAATGGTGTTCTCTATGTCCATTGTCACCACCAACGTCCATCTCGGTCTGCGTCACGCCAGCGTGTACAGTCTATCAGTAAAAACTGAGTGAGAAGGATGGAGAAGAAAATTGCTTTGCTATAGCATGGCACAATCAGCTGCAAATATATTAGATTTTTTGCGCTGAATACAATACAAATGAAGAAGAGGAACTTTACGTCATCTAACCACCTAGCTAATTTCACTAGAATATTTCACCATTTTCCAGGACTGAGTCGTGTACCAAAGGATCTGAAAAGATCTATTCCATCTCTAGTACTATAGAATGAGATAAAAAATTGTTTTTAGAACAAAGGGGAGACCAGGACGGAGACATGGGCGTATTCTCTTTGAGCAATTTTTCAAACTTTCATGGGCAACCACAACACCTTAGTGGTGTAGAATATATATTTTAATTTTTTTTTTTACATTGCAATCTGTGTGCAAACTCAATCCCTCTGCATAATATAATTCCAAATCACCACCGAGTTCTTTCAAAGACAAAAGAATGGCAAAAGCTAAATGAAAATATATGTGTGACTCTCCATTGTGCCTCTCTGTGTTAGATAAAATTCTGGTAGTAAAGTATATCACAATTATATGTAAATTAATTAAAGAGCATAGCAAGCTAGCAGGAACAAGTGCATACCTGCTCCAGGTTTTGCTCGTTTGTTGCCATCTGTACTAAGAAGAAGTGAATGGTCAATTCAAAGTTGAGGAGAGACAGCAGAAGAGAGCTAGCTAGAGGCAGCACATTTGGAGCCAGGATATGGTTGTATATATAATTGAGTTCTAGCTAGTGCCCTGCCCCGTGTGTGTGTATATATGCAGCAGGTGTGCACCAGATGGACTGGCCGACCTCTAACCGCTGGATACTGACAAGATTGACACACAAATGTAAAAAACCACACACATCTGGTGCCAGCACGCAGTGCTAAGCATGGGCGGATTTAGGGGTATTCCCCAGTATTCCAAGGAATACCTAACTATTTTGGTACACTTTTACGTAGATATGTGTATATACTTATATATATAAATGTATAATGCTATAATCAATAGTATTTTCGCACATTTCAGCTCAAAACAGGTAAAAAACTGGCCTTTCAATTAGAAGACTAGATTCTAGAAAGCAAATATTGGTTTAAAGTTGCTGATTTGCAGTACTATTGGCTATATTTTAAGTCTATGGATTCGATTTTTTTTTTATGACGTGGAAGTGTGAATACCCAAGTTTTAAATTTTAAATCCTAGCTCCGCCACTGGTGCTAAGGCATCTGAACTGAGAAGATTGAGACACAAATGTACCCCGCACGCACACATCTGGTGCCGTCGTGCCGGCACGCAGTGCTGCAAGGCATGTGATAGGTAGAGACAGGCAAGCACGAGCAGGGTACTGAGAAGAGATTTTCAATGCCAACTCGGTCACACATGCATCTGGTGTTGCGCTGCTCCATCATCTAGTCTAGCTAACGGAACACGAGAAAGTCAAAGTGTCAAAAAAGCTTTATAATTCTCTGGTCTAGGAACAATTCCATTCACGCCAAGCATGAGGCTCCGAAGTATTGAGAAAAAAGATCTTAAAAATTCTCACAAATATTAAAAACATCGGGTCATCACATAACATATATTTATATATGGAGTATATTTGATATATAAATTGATTTAAATAGAAAATCTTAAAAAACTCTTGTCTTATCCACATTAGACAAAATGAACTAAAGAAGAATTTAGAATTTAAGTATCTTTCAGTATCATATATTTAAACAACAACCATTAATAGATGCTATGAGGAGGTGGCTGGGCCAGCCGTCTCTGAGGCCCCACCATGCAGCCTCACGTCGTGTATCGCAAGTCAGAAGTCGTCCTCTAAACCCTCCACCCCCAAAAATAGTTGTGTCCATAATGCATATTTATTTCCCTCGTATTCTCTTTTCGGTATTTTAAAATGAGTATTTGGAACCTTAAACGAATTCAAATAAAAAATTTCAACTACAAATTTGTAGATATTCGGCATGTGCTACAACTTTGGTTTTGGTTGTTTCTCCATCTGAGGTCATTTGAAAATTTTGAATTTCAAATGTGAGAAGTTCAAACATAATTTTTCTTAGATAGATTACTTCAAATGAAAAGGTTGTCAACTACAAAGTTGTATAGTCTACAACTTTGGTTTTTCTCATTTCTTCATCTGAGGTCATTTGAGAAATTCAAAATTTACTGTGTAGCACCTATTTTTAGATATGGCTCTAAATCTAGCCACCTCGGCTCTAGATCCAGATGTCTTTAGAAATCCATTTGTAGAGGTGACTACAGCTAGAGCCGTCTCTAAAGATAGGGCATTTGTAGAGGCGGTTAAAAATATCAGTCGTCCCTACAAATGCATTTTTAGAGACGACTCTTTTCAAGAAATATTTTTAGAGGAAGTTGTAGTCTGAGCTGCCTGACGAGAGTCTAACATACGAGTATGTTAAGTCCTTAAGAAAGAGAAAGCCGACCGACGGACCCCAACCAATCCCACGAATTGCTTAGGGGCTCGGAAGCTATACCCATCAAAGGTACGCTCGTGCGTACCCTCTAGAAGGAGTCAAGGTGAGCCCGAGTATGCCCGTAACTGCCGCTCAAGGCTCAGGGACTCTGCCACGGCCCTGGGCTAGCGAACGACGGTGGTCCGAGCCTGACCTCCACCTAGCGCCCATCCGGGCCAGTGCCCAAGCGACAACCAGCATCCTGAGCCATGGGCCAAGATCTGAATCAGGAACCCGTTAGGTGCCCAGAGCCTGACAGGTATGGAGCTGCTGCACCAGCTCCAAGTGCTAAGGGCTCTAGGGCCTACTCATCAGCCCCTCCAAGCAGAGGCTCCTTGTGGACAAGAAAGCCTCGAGAAGGCTCACCCAGGGGAGGGCGCACTGCAACAAGCAGCCCCTAACGGTCAAGTGCTAGAATGGAGGCAACGGCGTCAGGGGTGGTTGCGGCACTGTTGGCTACGCCTACACGACAAGGTGATGTCCAGCAATGCTATAACAGCGGATGCTTACACCAAGCGCATAGACCATAGACAAGAATAAAACCGACTTGTACACTGTGTCCTCCTCAGAATATAAGGAGCGGCATGGCTCCCATTAGAGGGGATTGGACAACACTCTATGAAGGAGAACCAGCCCAACTCAGTGAGGAGGGGGAGATTCGATTTGTCCCAACTCTGAGGGACCGAGGAAGAACACCGACGAACTCTGGGATAGCACCGAGCAATCCCCCTACCAATCTCTCTCGGTTTCCACTATTGTAACCCCCGAATTGGACATTACTAATATGAAGATCACTATACTACAGGACGTAGGGCTTAGAAGCTCGAACTAGGATATATCGAACTACATCCCTTCCATATTTTGAATGTCTGAGCCACTGGAGACCTACAAACTGACCTCCAACGAACAATTCCAATGCTTGTCACAATTATGAACCCGTGATAGCTGGTGTGCTAGCTAGGGGAGCGTGTCGTGTGTGATCATCGCTCTAAGGTGGATAGAGCCACCTACCTCACCGCCGGAGACGACGACGTCACCCCCCTCCCCCGAGGGTGGCTTGCACTTTTCTAGCTAAATCGTCATCATCGGCGGCTCCTTCGCCCCTGGTGAGGTTCTCAGCTCTGGGAGCTTGGACTATGCCGCCGACAACAATGGTGAGCTTCCCTCTCGAGAAGACTTCGTCGGAGGATGAGTCCCAGCGTTGGACCCTCTGCTGGGCCTCCTAGGAGCCGACCTGGAGGTCCTCGCCCAGCAGATTAGACTCGGTTTGGGCTCGAACCCCACTGTGTCAGAGCATTGCCATATGTTCTACATGCTGGCGCACGACCACCACTAGATCACCGCTGGAGAGGAGTTGCCGCCACGTCAACACTTCTGGTATGTCCTCTCGGACCTCCCGTATGGGATCCAGAATGTTGCGGCGTCATTCCGGCTCGAGCTGGAGCGACTCATGAGCCGGGAGGCGCCGCATGGTGCCATCCTCTCGGGCACAGCAGGGACCGATGTCCCCTCGCTATGCAACTTCCTGGAGATACTCCTAGGGACCGAACCGGAGTACGACTCTGACGACACCAGTGGCTTCTCCCTACCATGCAAGTGCTTCTTCATCGGTGATAGGCCTGCCGCCGACACCACCCTCGAGCTCACGCCTCCGGACATGAGGCCGACCAGCCACGTAGCCTACCTCAAGGAGAAGGTTGAGCTCTTCCAGGCCCTGGCAGGACAACCTCGATGCCGACCGTACCGAGCTCAAGAAAAGGAAGGAGGAGATGGAGCATCAGCAGGCAGCCCTGCGTGACGACGACGCCGGCAGCTCCCGACGTGTTGTGTCCCCCCAGGTGTACAACATGGCGGCAACCGCCTGCCGTCTCAGCGACGTCTCTGACATGCCAGACCCGAGGACCAACGAGTAGCTTATGGAGGCGCGGCAGGTCCTCCACATCACCCTCGAGCAGCAGGCCGAAAGCTCAGCGTCTCACCACCTCAAGGTCGTCCCAGCCGACGCCAACCTTCAATGGGGACTGCTCCGACGCTCGCACCCCACGGACGGGTGGCAGCAGTGGGCGATAGCTCCGACCATCCGAGGATGAGAGGAGCCAAGCCTCGGCAGGAGCGGAGGGCGGAGCCATCCTCCTGCCGACCTGTCACATGTAACCAGATCGGAGAAGACCGGGACGTGCATGACACCATCGACAGTATCTATAGTTTTGTTCAATCTCCGTATCATATCTAAACTATTAGAATTTAGCCGCACAACCAGTGGCACAACCATTATTAATTAAAAACTATTTTCATGGTTTTTATCTAGTTCTTTTCCTTCTAACAAAAAAATTGGAAACATGCAGCCATTTGTTTCAAATTTGGCTACGTATTAATTGTAGCGGACATTAACTTCTTATTTACTTATTTTATTTCTCAATTCATATACAACTCAAGTTAGTATTTTTTAAAGTTTAAATTCTGAATATATGCTAACCGTTTTGGGTATAGATTCTTTGTTTAAACCTAAGCCGTTATATCACCATAGAATCCAACAGTGCATATTCTTTTGTTTTTATTAATCTTGTAATTTTTAGAACTCCTCAATAAATGTAGGAGCTCATTTATGTAATGTTGAATTAATCTATATATCTCTTATAAAACTAATCCCAACTACAAGTTCTATGTCAACATGGTAAGATATACACATCATCTCTCACTAATATCGACATCAGCCCCCACAAATAGCCATGCCATCCCACCATTTTGCAACCTTTTAATGCAAGTTGTCCAGGTCATGTCCACTATAAGAGCAATTACAACTTTCAATATCCAGGAATTATAGAAGGTATCCGAATTTTGCTATTTCTTTTGCCATTCTATCATCTTATAATTCAATCCAATTCTGTTATTTTTTTTTCTATTGGGTTCTTTTATTTCCTTACCCAATTTAAATAAGAATGGATGTAAGAACATGTAGGTTTAATTCCAATAAATTTATTTCTAAGAAAGTCCCGTAACACGCACGGGATATCCTTCTAGTATAATAGGTGTTCAATGCCAATGCATGTGACGTCAACATGGGGAAGGGACATGATTCTGGGACGGCAGGCAGATGTGGGATATTGTGGTAAAAAAACAGAGGTGGGAACAAATTGGACACTATGGTCTCGGTTTT